TCCAAGACGGTCTGTCGGCGGTGTCTAAACGCGGGAAACTCTCTCTCTCTCTTTCTCTCTCTCTCTCGCTCTTTCGCTGAGAAATCTATGGTATATTGTGTACGTCGAGCATCAAGTTATATTAAACACCCTCTTACGCTCGGTAACCGCGTTTGCGTGATCAAACCTTACCCAACAGAAAAGTTGCGCGTAACAACGCTTAACGAAATGTCACTCTTTTCGTTAATGGAGTAATTTTAGTCTCGATATAAATTATCATTATATTATTAAATGATTTCTAATATAAAATAATATAACAGAATTTTCGTCATTTTATTAATATCTTGTAGTTTTGAAATAGTAATATAAAAATATATAAAATTTATACATGCACTGAGAAAAATCGTTTGATTGTATCAACAAGACGTATCTGATAGAAGGCATTTTGGTTAAACCAAGCAGAATTTTTTATAATTAGAATGTTTAATAAAATTTACTATAAAGATTTGATTAATATTTTCTAGTTGGATCTATAAAACTTCTTGTTATATTAACTAAATGTGGACACAGTGATGCCATTCTTTTGTAAATTTAATATTATTACCAAGATAATTTGGTAAATTCACCAGGAAGAAATTAATCATACTCATCTGGCAATTCCTAAAGAAATTCTGATTCGTCCATTTCCAACAGACATAATGATTGAATCTATCAGATTTCTGATTAATGCAACCAGATTTTTTCTCAGTGTGTTTTTCTCTGGTTCTCTTAAAAATAGAAATATAATACTGTAACATTTTAGATGTTGAATGATTACAAATGAAGGCGATTATTCACAAGGATTAACGATCATTTATAGTGAATCTATCCTCACGCACGTTGACATCGCAAGCTGGCGTTCACTAGAGATATTTTTGGGTCGCCTTAGACGCGCTGGATGATTCACGCTACGAGAAAGAGAACACTCGACACCCAAAAAGACTCTACATCGAAAGACTCAAGGATGAATTGTGAGTACACGCGTAAATATATACGTGCAATTCAAAACACGTCCACAAAATAGTACACACGATACCTTTAAACGACGATTTATCTCGCGCTTCGTCACATCAGGTCTACGAACTGTCAGTGATGGGGAAAAAGCGTTCTTTCTCGTTCGCTGTTATGGGGTCTATTAGCATAGCGGAAATAGGGAAACTTTCGCATATACGTCGGAGTGCTTTTCAACTTGATGGCTTCGGATGCGATCCCTCTTTTCCCTCGAGTAGCCCGAACTTTCAATGTGTATCATCGTCGCCGAAGAACGCGGTGAACGTATTCAAAAAAGCATATTGCCATAATAATCCCACGTGTATGAGATAAAAATCTGAATATCGACTTTTTATCAAAAGAATAATTTAACATTGGAACGATTACTACGTCAATATATTGACAGTGTATGTAACGCGATTGCTTTATATATATTCTTGTGAAATGGGCACATTTGATGCTATTAAAAGGTGTTATTATAAAAAATCACGATACGTTCAAATATTTCTTTCCGTTCTCGTTTTTCTCTTTAATGTTTCAGCAAAATATAAGAGATCAAGCAGGAAATTAAATTCGCGATTCCTAATTAAATTCCACGCAGATTGCATTTTATGTCTGTCAAAAAATATTTTCCATTCCTGCACATCGCGCAAAGACGTTTACAAGATTTTCCTTGTTATTTGATATAATTCGTTCTACCTCTGAAGAAGATATTTGTTCGCCATTAGCGTAGTGTCTACCGTGCATTAGCGACGCTATTATTATCGTGTTTGCTTTGCAGATACGCGCACGCGGCCCTTTGTTCTTTGGATATGTGCAAGTTGCAAGGGGCTCATAACCGAGTAAAATGAACATTTATTCCGACCTGGTTCAGTTATGGATGGTTTCAACGTATTTATATTTGATTCTCGTTTCAGTTAAAGGCTACTTTCCTTAAAATGCGCCATTTTTCTCGTGAAAATATCATGCGTTATTTCTTGCTGTACGCAATGTTATTAATTATAAAGGCTGCCTATCGAAAGAAAATATCTATTTTATTGTATCAATTTTTCTTGTTAATTAGATACTATTGTCATTTCATTCTCGGAAATAAATAACTTTAATAAATAACTTTAAATTATAATTTTGTTAACGTTCATGTATCAACTGACAACTTTTCTTGTATTTCTATCTAAAAGATTTTATCTTTATATGTATAAAACCTAGAAAAATATATGTTCTGTATCTAGATTTGACTATGTGTAAAAAAGCGTTATCGAATAATGATTGTGATCTCCATTTAAATCCAGAGTTCAAGAACGCAAGACAAAGAGGATAAATTGAAGACCGAACAGAAGAAAAAAAAATATGGATCGAGAGGAGAAACGGCAGAAAGCGGAAAGAGGAAAAAAGGAGAAAAACTCGAATTAAATCGACCATATCCGGAGCCATGAAAGGAAAACAACGACAGTGCGCGGGCAACAGTTTTACGATTCGGACGCATGGTTGAAGGTACCTCGGAAACGACGGAGGGTGTATATACGACGAAGAGATGCGAATTCCATTCCATTAGTCGGCCGTTAACGATCGAACGTGTTCGCCCGACTGTGTGCACGCAGGATATATCCACAGAGAGGTCCTGCGGAATGCGGAGAGAAACCTACTACTACCCTCGGTCTCCTCTGCCTCGGTATCACCCCCGCGTCGTGCCTCGTCCTTCCCGATTTCTCCCCGGAACGGCGTAAAGGATTTTCGATTACGTTTTGTCGCTGCTTTTGTTCCGCTCTGGTCGGTTTCGAGCCCACTTCACGTGGCCCTTCCTCTCCTCCCCCCCCCCTCCATCGTATTACACGAGAAAACTCAACCCTCCTCTCGTCTCCCATTCTTCATCTGACCATCCTTCGATCCTCTTTCCGGACTAACCTATGCATTTTTCCGTTTTCTCACGCGTCGTGTCTCTTCTTTTTTCCTTAATTATACGTAAACTTTTCGCAAAATTTATTTTCCAGAATGAATCGCAACGTGACTGTTAAAACTTATGACCGAGGCAAACTCGGACGAATTTTTTGATTGCGAAAATAAATTATGGAAACATGTATATTTGAAAAATTCAACACTATTTATTAAACGAAGGAAAATAATTGTGTAAAATTTTGAATTAAAAAAGTTACTCTCCCTAATTAAACCATAAACAAATATATTATTCGTCAATTATTATTGAGTAAAAATTTTCCAATTCATATAAACACAATTTATAAATCATCATTACTTTTCAATCATATTCGAGCGAAATATTTCAGAAAGTAATTTCGAATCGCGAGTTACCCCTACGAGACTGGATCCGGCGAAAGAGGAAAACACGGCCTTTCGTATAGTGCCATCGGGCGGAATCTCTCGACTATGCTAAAGTCTGGAAATTGAATTTCGGCGGCGCACACGCGGCTTTCTAATTCGAATTTGAGGTTTCTCGCGGAACATTCGCTCGTACATTCAGCAAAACGGCCGGATCAGGTCCAACGGAATTTATTCGACTTTGCTACACTACGGAAAGGGACTGGTGCTGGGCGTTGGGGAAGGAGAATGAGAGACGAAGCGAGAACGAAGGGTCGCGACCACAAACACCAAGCGAAAGCGCGAAACTATGGAGGCTAACTGATGGCAAGCGGGGTTGGGAGGGATTTATAGACCGACGAAGACTTACGACACCTGCTCGTACTTATATACAGGGTGTCCCAGGAAGCGACAATAAGATCCAGATCTTTAATCAAGATTGCAGTGAATTTGTAATCGAAAGTTATCACTTAATGTCCGCGTGTTGCAATCTCGATTGATAGAAAGATTTAAATAACGATTATATATCCCGAAAAATTCATCTACACATAATAGAAAAATCGGTCCTTTTCGAGAGACACTCCATGTATACGCGCTCTGTCATCACTTTGGAGGCATCCGTGCGAAGACATCTCACATTCATGTCAAACGACTGCGAAACGACTGCCAGTAATGCGATAATTCCCAACTTCTCCAATTATTGTCTGATCCCCATCTTTGCGCTTTTCAAGTCGAAAGACCGAGAAAGGAGGTCGCGAGCAAAATAAACTCGTAGAATAAGACTGATGTTGCCCGAAATCGTTCGGGAGAAATAAGTATTCGTCGTGATCGGAATCGCGTGGTATCTGCGGGAATTTGATCGAATTAAAGTTTCAGCGATGACGCATGAGAGATCGTCGTCGAGAGAGTCGATAAGCCGGCAGACAGCTCTCACGAGAGAGATCTCATTAATTAACGCGACGTTGCTCTTTTATGAATGATCGTGTTACTCGCGAATCGTGTAGACTCGAAATAATTAGAAAAAATCTAGCAGATCTCAGCTCTTTCATCTCGGCATCCTCGATAAATGAGATTCAAATCGTCCCAGGAACAATTTAATCTAATTTTGCATGACGTCGCGTTTGATTAAAACCGTATTTAATATCCTGTGTACGTAAAGAGGGAAGTATTTCCAACGTGGATATTTTACATTTCAATCTTCATACGCGTCAGATCCATATGCGTTGCAAATGATATATTAGCCTTTAAATTAAATTTCATTACTGTAGAAAAATAGCTCTTAATGTGTAAAACTGTTTGTGATTCTCTTTTCATAAGTGCGAGTTACATCATTTAAATCATTTTAAATCTATCCATCAAATATTTCTACGACAATTATTACTGCAGCATTTACCCTAAAATGGTACTCGTGCTTGTTTTTTTTTAATTTTTTAAAAATTCAAATATATAATATGCGAAGTTTTTGAAAGCATTTTCAAAGATAAATGAAATAATATATATCTTTCAGTAACACATAAAATTCAATAAAATAAAATTAGAAAAACTTGAAGAATTAAATCGCTTAGAAAACGTATATATGTATCCTTTACAGAGAGAGTACCATTCTTAGGGTTAAAATGATCAAGTCCTGTTTCATGCACAATTAATCGAATACTCATTTGACACACACAATTAAAACTCACCGATCAGTTTGCCGAACTGCGCTGGGGGCTTCCACTCCGGATAATGTCGTGGGAATCGCGCCCTCGACCAGTAGGTCCTCAGGGTAACCTTGTATAGCGCCAGCTTGTCCTGCTTGTCCTGCTTCTCCTGCCGGTCCTGGACGTACGATCCGCATTGTCCGTGGATGGAGAGGAATCGCGTGGCCAGCAGGAGCAGCGAGAGCACCGACCACCGGTGCCACGTGCCACGAGACATCCTGCGCTGACATCCGCACAAGTAGGGAAGGATAAAAAATAAAATCGCCGTCGTGCCGAGCGCTATTAGCCCAGTCGTGGCGCGCGGTATGCGACACGTGTTAACATCCGCCCTACGTATGCACGCACGTATATGTGCACGTGTTGCATACTTGGGTCGCTCATTCCGAAACGCGACCGCGCGATGGAATTCGACACGCGCGCGCGTCACACCAGACGATTTTCCACGCGTATGTGTGAGTGAGGGTAGGTTTGTGTGTGTGTGTGTGTGTGTGTGTGTGTGTGTGTGTGTGTGTGTTGTGCGCGCCAACGAAATATTAAGAGGAACGCGAAACTTTTAAAGTGCTCCGTATAAGGAAACGTCAAGGGAAGATAAAGCTGCGAAACGACCTACTACTAGATGCAGCTACTTCGGATAGTAATTTCTACCGTTACTACTATACGATACTGTCGGGAAAATATAAAGCTTATCTCTTATCGGTGGACTAGGATAAAATGAAACGGGGCAACAATTCATCATGTCATTGCGACCGTACAATCATCTGTTATAAGAGTCTCGGTGGGAGAATAACTTCGTCTCTAGAATTATAAGCGAAATGCCATTGTCTGCATCTTGCATAATCGAATATACATATAAGTAGAAAATAATATTTTTTGAAAGTATTTTTCTTTATTATTTAATTGTAAATTTTCTCTCTTCACGAGAAAAATTTCTTCGCGGAACGAAACTCTATCGTTTAATTAAATCACAGTGCATATTTTACTTTCATAGAATTTTAACATTTTTATTCCTTTTTCAAAATTCTTGCCGAAAGTAAAATTCGATTTCAAGTTTCTCGAATAATTCATCACGAAAAAAGCAACTTTTCTCCTGGAAGTCTTCCGATTTCAATTACAATAATTAATGGCGTATGAGCGCACGATGAAAGAGGCACGCATAATTCAGTACTTTGAAAGAGCTTGAAAATTATATTGTCAAATATAACTTTGCTGTGGTAACCTGGTTTCGATGCGGTAAACAAAATTGATCCGAAGGCATGTCGATGGAAGAGGGAAGACGACGCGCTTTTCCCTCGCGTAACTGCTGAATAATTCAGGGGCCGCCCGAGAGAGCTCGGTGGGGGTCCTAAAGTTCTTTTACATGGACGCAATCAAAAGGATAACGCGATATTACCACACGGACGAATAAAGTGCTGCGTAAAAGGCGATGTTCGGTGGGATGTCCGTGCCATTACACCCCCTCCCCGTTCCCTCCTCTCTCTAACCCTCTATTCGTTGCGCTTAAGAATGTGCCGATTTTTTTTTTCTAAGTGAATCCATTACTCGAGGGAGAAAGAAGGGAACGTCTTCCAATTATCATCTCACCCGCGGACTCATCGAGGAAAAGTGTCTTGTCATAAAAGCAGGGATGTAATCGCTACTCGCATATATATATATATATATATATATATATATATATATATATATATATATATATATTTGCGAGACATAAATTTCGTCGTATTTGAAAATCCGTGTAAATCTATCGATCAAAGATCTCGGAAGCGATCGGCTGTCCCTTTTGCCGGATGCGAGCGGCGACACAATTGACGTTGCACGACTACGCGATCGTATCTCGAGAGCTTCATGTTTACATATGCAGATTCGCGCATTCAAAATTCAAATCACATTCGAATCGTTTCCGATAGGCCCCGACTTGGTCAACCAATCGTGTCATCGCGAGTCGTCGAAATTTCACGGCGCTTCCGACCCCCCCGTTTTTTTTCCGGTTGACCACTCGGCTTCAAGAAAAATCACGTCGCTGGAATCGTTCCAATGGATTTCGAAATGATTGGTGACCCATCATGCGGCTATTTAATATTTAACAGAATATTTCTATCTCGAATAGAATTCGTCATTGTCACTAGTACACAATTTTTCATAGACAGATAAAAATGCAATATATAATAAGATATAGAGGTGTACTTCATTTTGATAACAAAATTAAATTGATAATAAAATTGTATATGACTGATCTTTTTTATCAAATTTTGTATTAATTAATTTTTATTTAAGAAATTGAATATGATTATCTTGGATCAAGTGCATATAAATATTTCTTCTGTATTATAAGCACTTTCAGGCAAAGAGAGAAGATTGTTTGAAAATATTAATTACGGCGTTAAAACTTGGAAGCTCTTTCAGTAAATACAAATTTGAGCTTTAAGATAAACGTCTTGTTTTTTGTAGCTAGCCTTTCTGACGAGAGGCTAAAATGTAAACCGAACAGTTAATGAAAAGCACACGAAAAATATTTATATCCCTTGCGCTAAACTTTACAAACTTTGCGAATCCGTTAAATACTTCTTTACGCCCCGGTACAGCGAGATAACTACGGAAACTTTCCATGTTTCCGATTCAGTATTGATCACGACGCTATACGATTGTAAGAAACAGAATTCGAAAGCAATACGTTTCAATTTATTTGAGAATTCATCTTCTACGTCTCTTAAATATTAGTTTTTACTGCTTATCGTAAATATACAACGGATTTATTTCACTATTATTATTACGTATCTGTAAAATACTAAAAAATCATAATTTCATTTTTTGTTAAAATAATTTGCATTTAATCTTTCATTAAAAAAAATTCTCGGTTCCGAAGTTCCTACTAGAATAAATATAATTTGCGATCTATGCATTATAAAACTACTGAAAAATCAACGAAAATTATGAGAGGAAAGAAATTTTTAGATTAATTTTTCCCCAACGCGAGAAAACTATCTACTCAAAATTTTATAATCCTTTCACCTCATGCAAAAAAAGAGATACGCGTACTCTCGCTCTATTTTTCTCTACGATGTATCAACGTAGAAATGGAGCGGTAGTGACCCAAGTTAAGTTTTTCCTCGAAAACTCAATTATATTTTTACGCGAGAAAATATCCGTGGCAAACACTTCGCAGAGGAGACCTCAATTCGCGGCTCGCGTCAGTAACGCGTTGCGTAAAAATCCATAATTATAGTACGCTCTTGAGAGAGAGTCGGGGCGAGTCGGAGCATCTCGGGGGAGGCGTATCCGGAGTAGAGTTCCGCGGAATGTTCTTGCGACCGACATGAGAGGAAAAGAGGGATGAAGGAGAGAGAGAGAGAGAGCAGAGGGAGGAAATATTATTTAACCGCGGTGGTGCAAGTCGCCGCACTCTCGGAATAGCAGCGGCATTAGCAGTTGGGTAACTGAAAGCCTTTTTTTGCTTTTACATTTCATTATGTTTCATTAGAGAGGGAAAGAAGGTGAAATAACTCACGCGAGTCGCGAGTTATGATCCCCTTCGCGCGCGAACAGGTACCCGTTCTCTCTCTCTCTCTCTCTTTCTCTCGTGACATATGGAGGATCTGCATTGTTCATTTTTCAACCCCGGTGACCTTATTTCGTCGTCACTGTCGCCGGAAAAGTGGGAGCGACGACGATCGAGGGAAAATTGCGACAGCACTGTACGAACGACCGCGGATGACGCGAACTTCAGACCCGGGGTCCGTGTTTTCCTGAGGTCGAGCGGTTGATTAATTTAATGGCCGCGGGAGCTGATTCCTCTCTTTCCCTCTTTCTCTCATCCTCTATCTCTCGTCGGTCTATTAGCGCGATCCTCCGCCCCGGTGTCTTCGAACTTCGCCTTTCCGCGCTTTCCGGTAAGCAACAAGTTGTCGCAAATCTGATTATTTGTTGGCACGTAAATAACGAAAAGCCCGGGGAATCTTGTCCGAGAGGAAGGGGTTTGCATGAATTTGGAGAAAACGTAACGCGTTTCCCCGATAAATCTTAATATGAAACAGATGACAAAGATTATCTCTCCTAAGGCGAGATTCCTCGAGAAAAAATTTGAAAGCGAAATTATTTTTAATTTCGATGCAATCACGATAACTTTGTTTTATTTTTCTGTATATTTATAGGAATATTCCGATTATATTTTGTAAGACCAATCGATTTTATTTTTCATAATCTTTGCTGCAATCACGATAGAATTACTTTTATGTATATTTACAGGGTGTGTGAGGGCAATCTCTTCTCAAAAAAAAAGCTTTTGTAGCTTACTTCGACAGCTTTTCAAAACACTATAATAAAGTACTTTTTTTATCAAGTACTTTTCGAGTTATGAGGCTTGAAATAATCTCTTAATTTTACATAAACCATAAAATATCTAGTAAAATATTCATTCTTCGATTATCTTACCTTAATACTTTTATATACAAAATAACGAGAGGAATCAATTGGTATAAAAAAAAACACATAATTGTTTCGAAGAAAAAATATGTAATTTGCAATTAACAATTACATATTTTTTTTTTCGAAACAATTATATGTTTTCATTACACCAATTGATTCCTCTCATTATTTTGTACATAAAAGTATTAAGGTAAGATAATCGAAAGATAAATATTTTATTAGATATTTTATGGTTTATGTAAAAATTAAGAAATTATTTCAAACCTCACACTCGAAAAGTACTCGATGAAAAAATACATTATTATAGTGTTTTGAAAAGCTCTCGAGGTAAACTACAAGAGTTTTTTTTAGAAGAGATGGCCCCGACAACTTGTATGTTGACCTCTTCCGATTATTTCGTAAAAAATCAATCGATTTTACCCTATCATTTTAACGAGAATCTCCGCAACATCGTAAACAGTGTTTCCTATGTGTGAGCATGAAATTACGTCTTCATACACAAATCCATGTTACGGATAATTAGCTTCGGAAAATTAATACTCCCATGCATCGAGGAATCTGAGACGGAACCAGATGTAGAGCCGGAGCGAGCTCGGATTCAGGATCCAAATCGTAGTTAATGGAATCCCCCTCGCTAAAATCTGAGCTGTGCATCGCGTGAATACGTAATAGTTACTGCGTAATAATAACCTTAACTCGCGCGGATACAACTCGGGTTACACAATAATGGAGCTCTCGTCGGACACCAGGTATCATCATCAACTAATAAGTCTGTTCTTTTGTGCCATTAAGTGCACATACTCAAAATATATATAAAATAAAAAATTTATATAATCATATCGGATAATCATGCAATAAATAGCATTACTTATCGCGAGGGATATCAAATATCATAATCAGTTAACGAGCCGAAAGAAAGAACGTCATGAAATGTATTTAACATTTATACTTTTGCACCATTAAACACGCGCTCGGAATAAATATAAACAAAATAAAAATTTATATTACAGTTCCTGTTTGAAATGAAATATTTATTTAGAATTATAATAAAAACAATTGCCAATCATTTGAAATATCATGACATTAAAAATTTATTCTTTTGTATTATTAAGTATACTCGGAATAAATAAAATAAACAAGTAAAAATTTATATGGCACGTGACTTGCGTGATATTTATTTAGAATCACAATTAAAAATAATTATAAATAAATATATTTATCTGAAACTATTTTAAATTGTAAAAAAATCGAACGTTTTCACGATCATGATAAATCAAATAACGAATAAAATAAAGTGAAATTCGCGCAATATCTATCAATGAGCTCGACAGAGAACGGAAAAAATTGTATACACGTTTTAAATCGTTGGCGACGCATCGGCGCATGGATCTCAATTTCACGTAAAAAGGATACCTTCAATCTTCTATTTAGCTCCGCATTGAACGAGTAGCTGCTCAAAGGACTCGAGCTTTGGCGTAAAAAGAGGGATAACGACACTCGCTTAAATGTTTTCCGAAACAAATTACCTCTACCTGCGCAAATCATTTCTGCTCGCAATCATTCCCACCGCGGTGTATTCCTTAGGGAAATAAATATATTTATCGCCTCTTAAATCTCCGAAAAATACATTTATTATTCGATAATAAATATAATATTCTCTCTATGATATTTTCGAAAGCGTTCTTTGCGAAAGTGTTCTTTTATAAACTATCAAAATTGAAAAATATAGCTCGATAAAAGAGACGTGCTTTGTGTTTTATACGCGTTTCTTCGTAATAAATATGGCGTATGTGTACGAGTGTGTACATGTATGTATATGGCACGAAAAAACCTTGCGATCAATTTCTCGAGTCACGCGAAAATCGCAATTCAATCTCTTGCGGATTAAATTCAAAATCGTCAAGATTTAACATGATATATTGACCAAGTTCTCGTCTATTCGCGAGCGTCTTTGTAAAGGTAAACACAGAGTAAGATCGAGAAATTGACGTCACGTACTTCGAAAAATAAACGCTCTTACCTTGTCGACGATCCGTCTCCTTCGATCAAGTCTCGTGCTCACCTTCCGTCTGCAGTTTTCTTCTCGGATTCCAAGCCGAAGATGCAAAAGTACTCGCGAAAAAACACTTTTCACACGTACGTATCACACAGAGACATCGCGGATCGTGTTACGAGTCGCGGCGCGCGGAAAAGGAGGTGGTGGGAGAGGAGGTGAAAAACGGCAACTTCAGGACGTGACAGGAGCTGTCTTGTCCCGACCGATTGTGTTCGCCGAATTCGCGCGAGATTTCCTGCCGCCTTCCTCGCGAGGAAGCGTCGCGACGACGACGACGACGCTCCCGCCGACACGCGCACGAATTTGGTCACGGACGATCCCGGGGAGAGGTTCTCACGTTTCACACAAGTATACGCGGCCTCGACCGGCGCGTCCACACGGTGGCGCAATCCCCCTTTTGCCGGGTGACAGCGCCAAGACTCACGTTGCTTCTATCTCGAGGGTCGCCGCGGTACTGCGAACGAGTGAGACCGCCGCGCTCCTCGTGAGGCTTCGGCCGCACATGCGCGCGCGTCGCGCCGCGCCACCACTCGGCGCCGCGTCCATCCATTTCAAACTTGCCTTTCCTCGTGCGTTGCTATGTTCGCGCTTCGTATAAACAACATTCCTTCTCCGCTCGTATAAACAATCGCGAGTGAGTGTTTCGGTTCATTTACGCAGCATAGATCATTTTTTTCTTTTGACGTATAATATTAGAGAGAGAGGGTGCGTAGAAGGTAAATAATGTACGCTTTGAAGGACTCTCTTTTTGCCTCCTGAGATTACGATTTTGAGACATTTTCAATAGTATTTTTACAAAAGCGAATGTAGTTTCAATAACCCAACCAATAATTCTTGTTAACTTTCAAAAGATTCTTATTATTGTTACGTCTTCAGTTATTCAGATTAAGTTACTCATTATAAATTTTTATTTAGAGACTTAAATATGTAAATATATCGAATTCATTAATTTTAGACTTTCTTTTGTACGGAAAGTTTCAAACTAATATATTGTATAAAGTTTTATTTTATTATAAAGGAAAGAGACGTGAACGGGGGAGAGGGAGGCTCTAACCGAAAAAAATTAAATTAATTCGAACTTAATTTCAGTTTAATCGCAAATACATGTAAATTTATTAAGCTTAATTTTTTTGAGATGTACAAAGTATTACTTACAAATGTATTCTTTGCTAATATATGTCAAAAGAAACATAATCCATGCTGTTAATGTAAACATTTATCTAATTGTGTGTTTGTTGTTGAGTGCTATTTTTAATAATAATTGTGTTGTGAGTGCTATATTGAATAATAATTTTCTTCACATATTCGAGAAAACCAGTGTCTTCTTGTACAAAAAATTAAGAGATATAGATAGAGATAAGAGATCAAATATATGTGAGTATACTCAGTTTTAAATAATAATTTTTATACAATGCAATATACGCAAATAAAAATACCGATAAATATTTGCATTAACTTACAAAACATATTACTTTCCTTTTAATTATAAATTCTATTATAAATTTTAATTACAATGTTGAAATATATATATAATATATATAAAATATATATAAAATATATATTTATAATTACATATAAATACATATATATTTGCATATGTACTTTTCACATTTGAAAGTTTACATCTAAAGTTTTTATTTAATAAATTATTTTTTCGGAGTTTTATGGAAATATATTTAATTATATTCATAAATTTTTAATTACACACATGCATAATGAAAAATATATTCGCAAGCTATAAATTGCTTGATATAGCAATTACATAAAATATATATATCAATGTTAAAACAAAGAAATAGCTAATTTTAAATAAATTATACATGTTGCAATCTCTGTTACTATATATATTACAAATCTGATTACTTTGTGTGACACTGCTAATTTCATTATTAAAGGTATGTTTTTTATATTTATATTTTATTTTTATATTTTTTATATTTAATATGAATCATTTCTTTATTATACGAATGTGTGCTATAATAAACGCGATATAATCGAGCTTATGATGACATCTAATATTTGATAATTAATGTTAAAATGCAGATAAGTGTACAATTCTTTGATAGCATTACGCAATGTCTGTTATTACATTTCACGGTCTTTTATGCTTACATATACGCAAAGTCGTAAAAAGGTACGAAATACTTTCCGCAGAAAAGCAACGCTATTTTCTATACTTTATCTCCGGAGCCAGAGTTGGATATACAAATAACCATCCATATTGTCGGACGTACATCTGCGAATAAAGTTTACCAAAGGAAAGTAACAAAAAAAGTTTCAACAGAGGAAGAACGATTGATTTGCGAACTTGCGATGTAAACTCGGTATTTTTTGTTATCGAGGAGAGATTTAAAGTCATGAATTATTAAATCGTCAATGAATAAAATGTTTCTAAATGTCTCGTGCTATGCTTCGCTAAGAGTACGCCAAGTTTTATTTTATTCATTGGGTACAAGACATTCTTAATTTTTATCTCATCGAGTGACATCATCTTTACTCCCGCTTTTTTACTCCCGCATATAAGCCTGTTGAAATTTTTTTAATTTTTGTTGGAGTTAATATGCTAATTGTTGGCACAGAATGAAAAAGAAATAAATATTATTGATAATGTTAACGATGAAAAATGTTTTTATTCAATTTTTTTTTATTTTTTAAAAATAATATATACATAACTTTGAATAATATTTGATTTCACATTTAATGTTTACTAAATAATATAAAAGATATAAAATTCTTCTGATATGACATTTATTATGCAGCTCTGATCTTGCAATTATAACGTGTATTTTTCTAAAGATTATTGAAATATTTATACTGTGCATTACGTATATGATATTGCACAGCGCAAGGCAACGATGTCTATCGAATGAAATATATTGCCCCGAATAGTAAACAACCGATTTTCATTCAAAAACTATTTTTCCATGCGCGATTTCCGCATCTCGTTTTTCCTCGCTCGTGCGAGATTTCGCTGAGCTTTGCTTCACCGAACAAATGAATTCCGCTGCGAGCATCTCCACTTCAAACATGCGCATACAAGTTTGCTGTTTCTTTATTTACACTTACAGATGAGACTTTTTCTATCGAATACATTCACCTAGTCTGGATTTAACGTAAAAGCAGATTAAAGAACATAGTGTCATATGCACACGCGTAATTATAAATATAAAAAATGCACTGAAATGTGTGTAATATTATGAGAGAAATATTTACAATTATAATGGAAAAAATATTACAGCTAATTATTATTATGTCCGCGTTGAAAGATGTCCAATATTTTAAATATAATTTTTTTCTCAACATTAGCAAAAGGTGTTTGTATTAATTAATTTTAATTTTTTGAAATTTTTTGAAACATCTTATTTATGTAAATTTAGCATTTCTTTAAAATATTATATTTTTAATATTATTTAAATACTATATTTGTCCTTGACTACAAACAAATTTATTATAATTACAAACGAAATATTGTCATTTTCTGCACTAAAAATTTAGCTTATTAAAATCAGAGTGCTAAATTCACATAGTGATTGTTCCTATTTTTTACTTATAAATAATTTTTAGAATCGAATGAGGTTATATTTATTTATATTTATGAGAAATATATTTGATATATTTTTATCGATTGTTTGATCGCGATCTTTAATATCTCTCATTACAAATAATAATGCCGCGACAACGCGAGTATGTAAGGAGGGAGCAAAACGCAATTTACGATAAGACGCGCGTCGCACATCAAGGGAACGCTCGACTTATGAGAGGGGAACTAATTGTTAATTATGTCTGCCGGTAAATACATATACGGTTAGGGTATGTGGAGGGAATGGGGGAGGGATGAAAAGGGAATTCCGACACACAACGATCCAAACGCCCGAAGAAGACACGCACACCCAACACGTACGCAAACAAATACGCAAACACACACGCATAGAAACACAAACACACGCGTCATAAGCGTAAGCGAGGGTGCGAGAGTGCGAGGGTGGATGGGAAGAGCGCGAAATGGCTGGGAAGTAAGGCTCTAATTCGACAAAGCTTCGTCATTACGGCGCGTTTGTTCTTACCCCGTTGCTCTCGCTCCTTGGTGGGCGAAGTGAGATGAGGATCGATGCCACGGAACGAACAGCGAGAAACGACGAGCACAGTCGGAGAGAAGACGGAAGGAAGCGTCGTTTAACGGAACGCCGCCGCAGTCGACGCGATCGCTTCCCGAGAGCCACTTAACCGAAATTATCCGATCCGATGGAGGTGAGAGAAATCGCCGCGTCTGATCCTCGGGGCTTGATCGAAATCCTGTGAAATACGACATATAACATTGATCGCAGATGAGCAACAGTATTGAGAGTCGATACATGATGAAGATTGGCACTGAGATTAGGATCGTTATCTTCGACAAAGCTATAACAGCGGTTAATGGAATTGAATTGATATTAATTGATATTCGAATTCCTGCAAACATTCATGCACTAATAGACAAATAAAAAGATATACAGAAGGCGAATATTGTAATGGGAGAATATTTTGTTTCATCAAATTAATTAAATTAATGCGTACATTAAAATTTAGCAATTGATAATTTTATAATTGATTTTATTTTATTTTATTTATATGTTTTTTATTATATATTTTATAATATTTTATTTTATAATATTTTATAAATTGATAATTTTATAATTGATTTTTATATACAAATAACTCATACAGTTTTTTAAATTGAATCGGTGAAAATGGAAATCAATTAAATCAATTAAAGGTGATTCACTGAAGATCAGTAAGATTTCATTGATCTTTAGTGAAATTAGTCACAGTTTGCTCCTCCATCTCTCTGCATCACTAATTATGGCAATAAGATTCCATTTAAAAAGTCAATAATAACCATATTTTACAGAGTTTAATTGTTTTAAGATTTATTCTACTTATTTTAAAATACTATTTTTTGAAAGAAGTCTACCTATATATATATATATGCACACACTATATACACACACATATTAAAATTGTGAAACATATATATAATTAATACTGAAAAATTCATAATTATATACATATTACATTAATTTAAATTTAAAATGAGATACACAAAATGAATATAAAACTCCTAACAAAAATTTTAGATATTTCTTTTTAACAAAATATATATTATGAATTTATTTAATATTACAAGACGCATTTTTAAAATATCACTGATTGAAATAGCTACTATTACTGGTTGATTATTTCAAAAAAATGTACACCGTATACTTATTGAAATTAATTTTCAGTGATTATTTACTGCTTTTTAGTAATAAACGTGCTGATTCCATTTAAGAGATCAATATCGTGTAATAGTTATATCTCTAATTGAGTATAGAAAAAAGAAATTACATTGAAGAATAAAATGGATTATGTCAATTTTAAAATAAATCTTTCAATATAATGAGATTAATTAATTATCATAGTTCCTT